ACGATCAATCCCACTATTCGTTGGTAAAAAAAGTAGCCCAAGAGTTGGCGGTGGGTGGTGATGACTAGCTGCCTTTCTTCTAGTCTTACACTGCTAAATAAGGGACGGCTAGCGCAGATAGCCCTCGTGTAGCTTTGCGCGAAATTCAAAAACAAACAGACTATCTTGCATAATCGTTTTTTCATTTGCGATTTGGAAACTTATTGAAGAAAAGGAATATCCACATCTTGTTTTCATCCTCCAAATTTATACCTTTTGCAGTTGTTCTTCAACTGTTATGAGGGATTTGAATTCATGTATAAATTATTGTATGAAACTACTTTGGTCGGTGGTTTGTTTTGTTGATATTTAGTTCATTTGCAGTTGATGCTGCTATGTTTATAGATTTTTTTATGTTTACATACATGTAATTAAATATAAAGTTTTTGTTAACACCATTTTACCTTATTATTATAGTTTAAAAACCTGTACACGACCCAACTAAGCAAGACACTAAACGACACTAGTGTTCATAATAAACATTTTGTAATAAATAGATAAATCATGAAATATATTATTATGCAAGGTTAATATTAATCCCTCTTAACCATCAGCATTTTAGTAAATTATTTATTTAGGTTGTACGCATGCGCAGTAATTTTGGCATTATGATGTCACGCCACGAGACCTTTCAAGAGTTTCCTGTGTAAACAGTATCACAGCCTATGGTAGGAACTCAGGTACACTAGACGAACGTTGAAAGGACCTCCTAACGTTAAGCCACGTTTCGAGACGCTGATATTATCATTCCAAATAAACTAAAGTGAAAAACGTGGAGTTAAGACGCTATGAGGAATTATTCTTTATTACTAGTTTAATTATTTATTGTGTGAAATCGAAAGTGCTATTTTTTAGGAAGAAAAGAGAAACAAACATTTCACGACGGATTCAGCATCATCAGGTGACAGTGCTGAAAGGTAAGTGTCTCTGTTTGGCGGGCATTAACTTATATCTCCACCCTTTTAACCGGTAGTTTGTCGGGGCGGCGAATTCAAGCTTTTGTTGAGATGGGAGGTTATTGATCGGCCGTCCACCTTATCTCCGGTGAGAACTAAAACCCGAAGGGTCAGAGAGTAGCCATGAACTTGTATATACATTGCTAACTAGTGCTTAATTTGAAAATTTTTCTATATAGCTCAGTTGTGCGCCATCTACATATTAACACAAATAATGTGTTGAAATAACAAGTGCTTCAAAATTCGTTTCATTAAAGATACCCCACCGAATTACAGTTTACTTCAAATAAACTACGATGTAGAAACATTTTCAAAATATCCTTAAAAACCAACTTATTCTACTTAAGTAAAAAGAGAGGAACACATATTAAAAAACATTCTAGCAGGTGGACAGATAGACGATTTCATGCTTATTTAATGTATATGTAAACATGTAGACTTACATATTATAAGTTCTTTCCACGGATTTCTGCGACGCTTTTTATTTTTCAGCAGGATCATTAAAGTTTCTGAGTGAGTTTAAATAACAATGGAAGATTCGCAGGTTGTAAGATATTGTTACTAATTTACTTCAAACAGAAACTTCATCTATGTAAATGTTAATCGATTTACATTTTCTGCAATATTTAAAACAAGTGTCACATAAGTTACTTCTTTGTTGTGAAAAAAAAAGGTTAGGGAAACATCGAAGCTGTTGCAAATTTCTTTTTCAACTTTAAAAGATCAGTGTCTAAATCAACGTACTTGTCAAGTTGGAACTTCTGCTATTAATGTAAATATTAAGATACGTGTAAAATCTTTGTGGAATAAACTAACAATAGAGAAAACGTCGTCTCCGTGATACTTAATAACTTAATGTTTAATCAGCAATTGAAGCAGGGAGGGGTTCAATGTGTTGAACACTAGAAAACTGCGGATACATTAACATTTTGGTTGAGGATAAATAGGGTAAATAATTCTTGTTTATTAAAACCAGCTAGTCAAAAATACAGAATATATATATATATATAAATCTGGCAACTGATAATTATGTGATAAAAAATACATTTTCCAAAATAAAAAATGCATATATTTCAAAATAAGAACAATACTTGCTCATCTTTAAACCAAGTAAGCAATTACCTCTGTAAGCATAGAGCAAGTTATTACAGACTGCACACACATATATATATGTATATAGATAGAGATTATTTGAGTGATGATGTCCATTTGTGGTATGTATATTAAATGTTGAAATTGCTAAGCATAAATTAGATTACTCGTTCTCAAATAGTATTTTTCAGAGACAGTTTTATTTTATATACTTGAAATTATCTTTCCCATTTGAGACTTAATAGAGTATATTCTTTGATGTATTGAAGAATAAGAATAGGAAATTGAAATTAATATTAGGTCATGTAGACCTAACCCCCCCCCCCCCCCGTCGTTAAAAAAAAAGAACTAGCCATGCTAAGGAAATTTTAGGAAATAAACCAAAAGTCTTGAGAGCGGCTGGTACATCATAAAAAACGGCGAAGAGTTCTGATTCTGTGAGGAGGGAGTTTGAGTTTCAAGAAAGAAAAATGTTAAAACTAGTAAATTAAGGAACTGAAAAATTAAAAACATAAATCATTAGTTTAATAAATCGTACATGTAAGAGAGCTAAACCTTTGGTGAACAATAGAGTAATGCAAGATCATGAAAATTGTGAACAATAGAGTAATGCAAGATCATGAAAATTGTGAACAACAGAGTAATGCAAGATCATGAAAATTGTGAACAATAGAGTAATGCAAGATCATGAAAATTGTCAACAATAGAGTAATGCAAGATCATGAAAATTGTGAACAATAGAGTAATGCAAGATCATGAAAATAATTTTATTTTTTGTATAAATTGATAATAATATGTGGAGGATGTTACAGACAGTAAATTAACGTATTCTAAAGTTTAAACACTGTCTTGGTCAGTCCGCGTTTTTTGTTCAACTTGGGGCATGATGGTTGGTAAAACAAAATACGCGGCCTACCTAAATAATGAATGAATATTTGCTGTAAAATTCTTATCAATGCTATAAGTGTACCTACCAATCTTGATTTCATTCCTTTTAGTCGTATGCTCAATCCTTTTTTGGCCTCACTTTTTTTTTTTCACACCTAAGGCGTTTTTCATTAGATTCATGACTTTTTGCCAATACACAACAAGAAACTAAACCAAATAAGAAAGTGACACTCGATAGTAACCAACATTAACTTTATGATCGCAACCTATTATTCGGAACAGACCTATAGTTTACAGAACCAACCAGATTCTTTAAAACAGTGTTAATAACTTCCTTTATAGTAACGCCATGAAAACTAGATTAACAGTTTCTTGTCAGCATCTGGTACAGCCATATCAAACATCATTATTTATGCTAATTGCTTAATCTAGTATCACGTGACGATAAGCTCTTTAATTAGGAGAATTTCATAAAATGTAGTAAATTTGTGCTGAAAAGTTGGCAATAAATAATGAATAATGACCGTCCACTCTTATGATTCTTTTGAAAACATGAGGTAGAACCTGTCAATCTAGTTTGTTTGGCCTAACCAATGCTTATGTAACTTCACGTACTTCGTTTTGCTGCTCTAAATCAGCCGTCTTTAATCCGAATAACAAAAAAAATAAAAACGGTTTGCTTTTACTCTTAGGTGAAGCTGTAGTAACAATTTCAGACCTAAAACTCACGTGACATTTTGCGCAAGAATTACGGTCCAAATTGAGTATTTTTTGTTGAATAACTTTGCACATGTGGCTCAATGATTGTGCCTATTGTAGGGATAGTACTCGATATTTTGACATTATAAGCACTTATGCCTACCGCTGTGCCCACTGCAGGAATCGAGTCTAGAATTATGGCATTGTAAGCTCTCAAGCCTGGGGCAGTGCACATTCTAAATAAAATCCTGAAATTACAGCTTCAAAATAGCAACAAGTCATAAAATATATTAATTAGTTATGTAAGATATATACAGGATAAATTTTTAAAGGTTTGCGCTTGTATTTTTGTCTTAATTATGTAGAAAAAATATGCTCTGCTTTACGTCTTTTTGTCTCTTGATTTAAAAAAAAAACATTTTGTTGTACGTGTTTTAAACTCGGCATGTATTTTAACACGATCTTACCGCCAAATTTACTAATGTTAAAGATTACTAGCCACAAATGAAATGTATAAATTGGAATTTAAAATGTACCACTTCACAGAAGCTGCCCTCTAGTGGCACAGCAGTATGTCTGCAGACTTACAATGCTAGAAACCGGGTTTCGATACCCGTGGTGGGCAGAGCTCAGATAGCCCATTGTGTAGCTTTGTGCCTAATTCCAAACAAACAAACAAACATAGAAGCTTTCATTGATAGAATGCACATTTATTGTGTGGAACACAAGAAGAAAAGTCCAATTATTATATTTTATGACACTTGTATATAAATATCATATCACGACAAATAGCAAAATGCTTGTCGCGTTCCATGCAAGTGGTCAACATTTTGAACAAAGCGTGTTTTTGGCGAGTAGTCAGAATTCTTAAGAATACTTTGCTTCTTTTTTATGATACTTGTATATAAGTAGCATACAACGACTGATAACAAAATGCCTGACGTATTCAAGGCGATTGGTCAGCAGTTTGAAGAATATTATTTCTATAATACTTGTATATAAGTAGCATACAACGACTGATAACAAAATGCCTGACGTATTCTTTATGGAAGGTTGTCATTCGGAAGATTTTTGACGAACTGATAAATTCAATTGTAAACACGAACTCGCCTTTATAATAAAACCATAAGCCGCACTAAAACTGGTAGAGCAAGTTGTGGACTGTATTGAAACCGTGTTTTCTTGCATAGCGATCAAATTCGAAACTAAATTTTTTATACGTCCAAACGCTACACATAAGAATTTGAAACAAATAGTCCTTATACAAAAATTTGGGATAATGTTATCATATACAAATGTAAAAAAAGCATTTTAGACACAGCATCAAAAGAATTTATTCCGACTCCAGAACCTAGTCATTTAAACCCCTTAACTCCTGAAAAAATATTCTCGTCAAACGAGAGGTTCTTCACTGATTATCTGGTGTTATTTTTCCTTTGTTAATGTTATTAGGTCATATTTTCCATGAAGACTAACAACTTGTTTTTTGTTGTTGTTTTCCAGGACGAATAGATTTAATCAATGATCCACTTCACACGAGATATAATTGAAACGTGTAAAAAGTTCCCTGAAGTATATTAGGCCGCAATAAACTCATGTTTATCATTTATACTCAATATGTTATTTAAATAATGGATTAAACTGGTACAGCCACTTTTGATTTATCGTGATGTCTTTTGGTTAAAAGATATATTTTGAAGATTCTTAATATCCTTAGCAGTAAGGTGAATGTACTTATTAATTTCAGTTTGAAAAGTAGAGCGCGACAGTGTTGCCTAATATCATTTTTTATACCCTGCTAGCGTGAGAGATACCACATCATTTAAAATCTCCACATAACAGCACATCACCTGGCGGAACGAAGGTTAACCTTAGCCAATAGTAACTAGCATGACACACACAGTGAACTCGTCTGCTTTCTTTTTCCAGTACTATGTCAATCAGACTTTGTTCAGTACATTTTGTTATGGAACTTAAATTGTCATTAAACATTTGAATATATATTTTTATTACGTAACATTTTAGTAATTTTTCCTTTGATTTTTTAAATATTTCGTTGATTTTTCTAATATTTTGTTGTACTTTCAGTACTTTTCTTTCGATTTGTTAGTTTTTCAGAGAGTGTTCTGTTGGGTATTTAGCGTTTCAGTAAGCACTCTTTGCCTTTAAATGTCTATAGCATGTGTTATGCTGTTTTATAGAGTTTTCAATAGCATGTTAATTTTTTAGTTTTTCAGTAAGTATTCTGTTGAGCCTTATAATGTTTAGTAAGTGTTCTGTTG